GGCGTCCTGGGGCTAGGGGTCCCTCTTCCTGAGAACCCCACCACCTGTCGAGGGCCCGCTCCGAACTCAGGGGAGCAGAGCTGACCAACCTGCCTGGGGCCCCACCTGGGGCTGGCGATGGGCCGACTCCGGGCTCTGGGGGCTCTCCCAGTACTGGGCCTGCCGGTCCCCTGCAGGACAAGGACTTCTCGCTGGGGATCGGCTGGGGCCTCTGCTTCCTCACGTGGACACCTAGGCTGCCAGTCCCCAGACCAGAAGCCTGCCCGTCTGAAGGTGACCAGCACTGCCTCCCTCGGGTCTCACTTACCCGAGTCCCACCCCGGGACGTCCCGCATCTCTGACTCCTGCTCCCACGGGGGTCGCCTCCCCTTGGACTGGGACGGGTCTGGCCTCCATCCTGGGGAACGCACTGATTTGGAGCATTATTTGGCCCAGAGGCCTGTGATCCTTTCTGGCCCTGGGTCGTGAGGGATGCTCTTCCCTCTGTGGTGTGACCGTCCAGCCTTCTGCATCTCCTGGTTTCTGTTTAGGCCACGGGAGGACCAGCCGTGTCCTGTCTGGCTTCAGGCTCTGGTGTCACAGCACGCACAGGGGTCTCTACCCCGAGACCGTGCCCATTGTCACCGAAGGGGCCTCTGTTTTTCCACCTAATCCTTAATCCATTGTGATTTCAATGTCAATGGAGAAAAAGTCTATTTCAAACGGCCACAAAGTGCAAAAATGAATCTGTCTCATCTGAAAATTCGGTGCAGACCCAAAGGTTTCTCTTGTGAGATTCCACTTGAAGGAAACCTCCAGACTAGGTAACAGAATATGGAGAGAAAACAGACTGGGGGTTCCCAGGGGCTGTCGGGGGCACGAATGGGAGCGAGGGCTCCGGGTACACGATGACCCTTGGGGATCGAGATATCCTGCTGCAAAATTCTGTGGCGTGGTTCACGGCGTTGTGAGCATACCCAGTGCTCAGGAATTGCACAATGTAAGATAAATAAAACTTTTTATTGAAGATTAATACAGATTATAACTAATGAACAAATAAAGTAACAGCTAAAAAGTAGAAGAGAAAAAGTATAAGGGAGAAGAAGAAGAGATATTCTGGTGGGGGGTCGGGGTCAGGGATTGGAGAATAAATTTGAAATAAAATATAACACAAATAAAGTAAAGTAAACACCCCGTGTAGGCCTTCAGGCCCTTGATTTGTGACTGGCATCCATGTGGGAGCAAGGGCGGGGGCAGGGGCAGGGAGAAGGGCGTTGACAGGGGCGGGGGCAGGGGCGGGGACAAGGTCAGGGGCCGGAACAGTGTTGGGATCAGAAGCAGGAACAGTGGAACCAGGAGAAGCCGGAGCAGAAGCAGGACCCAGCTGACTCTGCTCAGTTGCCTGCTGTCCCCGCACAGGTCCCAGGTCACTTGCTGGGTCCCAGGCCCCTGCATGAGTTGCTCCAGACTCCACCCCTGACTGCAGAGACTCCGAGGACCCCGATGCCCTTGGGTCGGGCTCTGGAGCCACACCGGCTTCCGCTCCTGCCCCGGACTCTTGAGAAGGAAACAGAGTTATGGTTGCAGTGGCTCCAGGGTGAGAAGAGGGAAGGTCCCACCTCACACCAGCGCCGGCCTCTCCAGGGGCCTTTGCAGAGACACAACTCACCCCAGGGCCTCCCGAGAAGCCGCGGCCAGGGACCCACACCGGGACCTCTGCCCCCTGCAGTCCGCAGCCCAGGCTCTCAGTCTGCTCCTGGCCCCACACCAGCCCCCGGGGGCTCCTCCCTGGGTGGCCCAGCTCCGCCCTGGTCCCATGAACACACATCTCCAGCCTTCTCACCCTTGGGCTCTGGCTCCAGGGGCTCCGGGTCCTCATCCCAGGACCGGTGAACCAGGACCCTGTGG